GAACGATAAATTTGAAAATATGTTTGTAAACCACAAATATTGTGTGCGAATATGGAAAAAATGTTTGCGAGTTTAAAAAATGCTCACGAAAGATGAATTTGAAAAAGAGTTCATGAACAATGAATTTGGAAAAAATACTTGCAATAATTTATGAAACCATGAATTTGAATTTACTTGGAGCGAAGTGCATTTATCATTTTAACTAGAATTTATTTGCATATTTTTGTCACTGGCCATTACCTTGCATGGCCCCCTATCAGATGTGTCATGGGTCAACGATGCCAGCTGGGGCCCCTGTCCGATGTGTCATGGGTCAACGATGCTAGCTGGCCCCCCCCTGTCCGATATGTCATGGGTCAATTACGCCAGCTGGGGCCCCCTGTCCAATGTGTCATGGGTCAACGATGCCGCTGGCCGGTTAGGCGGGGTCAGACAATTTTTTGACCTGAACGACACATTTACTGCACTTCGACAACCTAAATGCCGATTTTTATAGTTTAAGGACCTACATGATATCTTGAAATAGTTTAGGGACCTACCATGCACTTCACTCATGAGGAGCTAACATATTGCAAATTGCACCATTTCAGTCTCCGAGCATAATCGTTGAGAAGCTAATGATGTTACAAGCTGCAGAATAGTTATAGCGGTGTAAAGCAGATCATGCATTGCCACTTGGAGCAGAGGAGGCATGTCCACCAGAACAACAGAAAAATAGAGGAGCCGTTCAGCTTAGATAGCATGCACTCTGTTTGCACGTATTGGGTTTGATTTTTATCACGAGTTCGCTTTTCGGCCTCAGTGAGATACATTAGCAGAATATTTGTTGTGGCGGCTGCCGTGTTCCACGGCTGTCTTGTGCCGATCACATGTTGTTTGCGTGGAGCAACTAATTGATTTGAGGGGAAACGAGATGGTACCCCAGTTGCATTTCAGAAGAAGAACTGAAAAGGTGATTCAGAGAGGTTTCGCTGTTTAAAGAATGTACAACGCCCTTTCATAACTGCCCAAATTCAACCTGTTAGTGCGACAGCCGGCAAATCCTATTCCTCACATGGTGCGCGAGTTTATACTTTCTCTGTCCTAAAATAAGTGTCTCAAGTTTATACTAGCTTGAGACATTTATTTTGGGATAGAGTAAACAAACGCACGGGGTGAGTGCGTCCTGGGCCAGTCCTTCTCAAGTGTTCATGGGTTTTCTTTTTCTATTCATTTCTTCTTTTATTTTTCCTTTCTCTTTTTATTTGTCATTGATTTTTGTTTTTGTTTTTATACTTTGAGTCATTTTTCGGCAATACATGAACATACGTCCTCATTCTCAAAAAAAAAAACATACGTCCTCACATGCACGAACAGATTTTTTTAACATCTATAAATATTTTCTTAATAATACATGAACCTTTTATATTTGATATAACTGTTGTTGTACACATGAACATTTTTTGTGAACAACACTTATTTCATACATATGAATATTTATATGTATGTCGTGAACGTATTTTTGCAATTTTTTTGTTTTATCCATTTATTGACACCAATTTTTTAACCCATTAAGAAGAAATATTGAAATAAAAACAAACACAGATATACGAGTATGACTAATAGCATGGCTGGATGACGGAAAATGCAAATGGTGCATGGACACCATGGTGCCCGTTTCAAGAAAATCAATTTCTACAATGTAAAAAATGTTGAAATTTTTTGTAAACACACACACACGCACGTGTATAATATGTACGTGCACATTTTCATATCATTTTATTTTCAGCGTACAAAAAAGACAAATATGTATTTTCAAATGGGATGCTTTGTGTTTGTGTTTGGCCGGATTTTTTTTTACAGCCTGCAAATTATATTTTGTTTCAAAAAATAATTTCATAGGTCCGTAGTGAACACATACAAGTCTCCACAAGAAAATGATTTTTTTTACTTTTAAATATATATTTTTTTTCAAAAAAACGAGCACCATGGTGCCCGTGCACCATAAAGCCACACTCGGCTAGATGACGGCTATTGCAGTTGCCATGTCATATAAGTAAGGTAGACTATTAGACTCGGGAGTGTCGTTTTGACTCTAGGGTGCATATGCTCTTAGATGAACAGTAAATTTAAAACAAAGAGTAGATAATTTTATAGTATTATGATTATTTTTTGTGCATGTTATTGTTAATGTAACAAGCGTGTTTGACAATTTTCATGCGAAACGGGATAGCAATGCTTCCTCGGTGACAAAATTAAGTGTAACATCTGAAGGTAATATTTGGCATTTGACTTGTTTTTCTTTTTTTGCACAGGTCAAAACGCTAAGCCTTTTCCCTAAAAGGCTACAGTCAGCATTTGGGTCTGACGGTGAACACATCTAATTATTTTTCCAAATTTTTAGACATTTGCCAAAAATATTTTGGGTGTGCACGAGCATACGCTCCCAAGAGCTGATTTGGATTTTGGATTAGACTCATACTTTTTCCGACTCACTCTCTTTCTCTTTCTTCATTTTTTTATTACATTTGCATGGGAGCACACATAGAATGAGGGCTGACATGAGATCTCACTCCCCTCTTTTTTCAACGTCTATCTTCTCCATATAGGCAAAAATGTCATGTAAATGTGCTATAAACCCCTTGCTAGGCCTTGTTTGGTAGACGGCTATTAGCAGGTTTCTAAGGGTTTATCCACTTGGGCCTAAGATCTGTAATATTCCTAGATGCGCTACTTTGTACACGAGGATTGTATCGGACCAACCCTAATTCCCCCAAGTGAACCCATTGAAACCCCGCGGAAATGAATCCACAAGTCGATGGGTCATGGATTTTTGCTCGCCACCTCAAGATGAAGGCTTACGAGACCCTTCCTCTTCCCTCCACCTCCATCCGATTGCCTCTAGCGGACGCCCGGTTGGTACCGCCACACTCCTTCCCCAATAGCATCGAGGCCTTCTCTCTGGCATGCTTATCTTCCTCCTTCCTTCCCCTATGCTCCCCTCCCACGCGTACAAAAAATATTTGTTTACAGAAAAAGGATTATGGACGGGAGAAGACTCGGGACAAGAGAAGAAAGTTGGGGATATGGTAAAGGGCAGGGATTCACCAAATCCCCTAAAAGAGAATCAACCTTTGGTTTGATGTCTAGGAGCGTTTGACACTCTCTATGCCTTATTATGGTGGGAAAATTCCACAAGTTCATCAACAACGCAAAAAGTCAACAAATTTTAGTATGAGAGATAAAGGCGGTTAGACAACTTATAAAGTTAAAAAAACGTGGTTTTGAGTTCTTGCTAGTTTTTTGTATGAAATTCAGGTTAGGTGAATGCACTTAATAATCGGAAAAGATTGAATCAAAATACCATTTCTTAACTGATTGATATTGTCTTTGTATAAGAACTATAAAATTCCGAATGATCCAAATGGGCACTTGTTTGTTTTATCTCTAGGTAATAATAAAGGGCGCTATTGCTTCTGGCGGTATGTCACTGAAATTGTCCCCAGAGTTGCAAAATATTGCCCACCGATGCCATCTATAAGTGATAAGAAAATGTTTCACACAGGGAAATCCCGTCTGGGCCGGCCCATACAGAGGAACCTTCTATATTACGCTTTGCGCGCTGGGAGAAGACACAACTCGCCTATTTGGGCCGACCCATGGCTGGGAGGCCTGTTTTTCAAATTCCGCTTTTTTTTTACTTTTCTGTCTTCTTTTTTTCTACTTTAAATAATTTGGGACTTCAAAATAGTCTCAAAAATTAGAAAAATAAGAATTATGAACTAAAATGTTTAATAATTCATAAATGTTTCTGGATTCAGAAAATTTTCATGATTTTTTAAAAATGTTCGTATATTCAAAAAATATGTGCAATTTTTAAAACAAATGCTTAGGAATAAAAAAATGTTCAACATTTTTTAAAAAGTTGTGCATTAAAAATGTTAATGAAATTGAACAAAATTTCTGTCAATTCAAAAAAAGATCATGAATTTAAAAATATCCTAAAATTCAAAAAATGTTTGTCACTTTCTCCCTCTGTACAAAGTCGAGTCACTTATTTTGGGACGGAGGAAGTACAAAATAGTTTATTGATTCGTAAAATGTTCATGATTTAGAAAATGATCATGCATTTCAAAAAAAAAAATTTAAATAAAGAAATGTTCGTGGATTTCAAAAATTGTTCCAACAATTGCCTAAAAAATCTTCGTAAATTTTAGAAATGTTCACCTATTCAAGAAAAATGTTTTTAAAATGTTCACAGTTTTGAAAAAAAAATCTTTGCACACAGTATTAAATGTTCATGCATTCAAGAAATGTTCATGATTTTAGAAAATGTTAAAAATTTGTAAAAAAGGGTCATGAATTTGAAAAATGTTCACGATTTCAGATATGTTCAGGAGTTTAAAAAAATCATGATTTTTAAAAATTGTTCATGATTTCACGAAAATGAGAGTGGTGTATATCGGTTACGCAGCAAAATATGGTTATGGCCATTGAAGATTATGATTTTTCTTCCATTGCAACGCACGGGGCATTTTGCTAGTATTTTGAGATACAAACTTGGTTTTACTACTTTGGTTGAGCCGAACTTTGGTTCACCCGGCCCACCCCTGTCGGTCGTTGTGCCCTCTGCTCTGGTTGGACCCGGAGTCCCGGACCCAAACTGCCTGGCGTGCTCTTCTCCCAGCCGCCCAGCAACATCGACTCCCCTCGGCGACCCCAACTCCGGCGGCGGCGCTGCAGGTCGAAGCGCGGGTAAGTCGCATCTCGACGTCCACGGACCAATCTCCCCATTCTCTAGACCTCGCGCTGCTGCGCGCCTGCTATGCTGCCTACGTGCCCTTACGCGCGCCTCTTCTCCCGATCCCCAAATCCCCCAACCCTCTTTTTGCAGCAGGAGGCGGCGCGTCTGAGCAGCCGGCGGCCAGCGGAGGAGGAGGGGTCCATAAGGCGGCGTCGCGGTAACCGGTCGGGCGAGCGGCGAACGGACGAAGGCGGCCGGAAGAGGGGGCGCCGGAGCGATGTCGAAGCGGTTGATGGAGCGGATGCTGGGGATGTTCCGGTCGCGGACGCAGGTGGGCGTCGACAGGGCCGGCAACCACTACTTCTCCCGCGTCGAGGAGGTCGACGGCGCCAGTACGTGTCCCCGCGTCCGTCTCTCCCCCTACACTCCTTCCTGTTGTCGATGCGTTCTCTTCTCCCTTGCGACAAGAACCTGCGGTCTCCTCTATGAAAGTGATCCTGATGTGTCCGTGTTTCTGCTTCGTGATGCATTACACAGTGAAAGAGAAGCGGTGGATTGAGTTCAAGGGCGACCGGGACCCGACCACTGTTCCAGGTTACGCCTCCTATCGCTTGTTAGGCCTGTGAGAATCTCTAGTTCTCCAATTTGGCTGGTACCAACAAATGTTTTTTGCAGGCATGTATGGTTTATGGCCTTCATTCTGAGCCAATATAGTCGGATTTGTCAGTGGGTAGACAGCATCTGATAGTTGCGTCGTGCTTGTAGTTGAGTGGATTTGCTGGTTGAATGGACAAAGGAAGAAGGCTCCAACACCAGAGGTAAGGAGTGAGACCGTGCCACTCACATGGTTCTCTGAAAACTTCACATTGATTGTTTACTTCTCCTTGCTTACTTAGTAAGGGAAGCAGCGTGTTCATTGCATCAGATACTGATGTGATGTATTGCTACACTGAGACAGGAATTAGCTGAGCTGGAGGCGAGGCGTGAACGCGTGAAGCAAAATGTTGAACGTATGTATCTGCTGATTCCAACTTCTAACCTCTCTTTTGCTATTGTTCTTAAGCTTCACTCGCTCCACATTATGTGTATTGCTCGTTGATAATGTTACTGTTTAAGTTAAAGCGATAGCTCCCAAACATGTTGTTCTCACATGTCTATGACTTGTATTTTTACGTTTTGCATCATTGTTCGTTAATCTTATGTCATCATTGAGATATGCTACAAAAAGGCACATCAAATGTGTGTGTTAGAGTGAATCAAAGATGTTTGATGACTCTGAAATGCTATGCAGAAGTAATTTGCTTATGCCGCTCATGAGTAATGCCTATTGTTTTTTGGGGTTGCACTCGTTGGAATGCATTAGCATTGTTGTTGTAGTCTGCCTTATGGTTGTTACTGTGTGCGTTTTATGCTAATTCGGTAATTCCCGTTACTTTCACTAGATAGTAAAATGGGAGAATGATGCTCATGGTCAGAGATGTTTGTTATCCTCTTTGATGATAAACCTTTTATTTGTTACTGCTAAATGGGAACTGTGTAATATTTCTTTTTTTACAACAGCTGGTCTATTATTTCTTACATGTATTTACACAGCAATGGCTCTAGAAACAGCGGAGGAACCCCATACCACACACCCGAGCCATTCAAATAACAACCAAGTTTTGCTAACACATGGGTACAACCATTAGCCTCTCTACGACACCATACAACCCGGAATTCAGAAAAGGAAAAACACCTGACTTTTAGCTCTTTAATCAGGTAACATCTCTACGATAGCAGCGTTCTTCAGTTTTCACACCGTTTCGTCCATCTCCGGCACTATCTTATCTAGTTGAGTCGCAACATGACTCCTTTCGCCGCCAACAGCTCTGCAAGCGCTGGATCACACACATAAGGGGGCCCGGAGCTTTTCCTGCAACAAAGGAGCCGTCAATCCTCCTGATAATTACTCCTGCTCTGCCAGCTCCACCACCAATATTAAGCCCTCCGTCCACATTTACCTTCACCCAGCCGTGAGGCGGAGGAAACCATCTCTCAATAGCACATACACTTGAGGAAGCTGGTACCGATTTAAACTGATTCCATTCACCAGCAAGGGAACAAACTCTTTTGGCCACTTTCTTCGGATTTTGCACAGGTTCACCTCTTGAGGCAGCATTCCTCTCCTGCCACAAATCATATAATATTCTAATGTATAAAGAGAGGTCATCCTTTGATAAAACCTGAAATAGGGATATCATCCAGCTCGCCAGGTCTCGGCCTTCTCTGCTCTTTCCCGAGAGTTGTGGCCACTTCTTGTTGCACAGATGCTCCAGCTCCAACGAATTAGGATTCCTCTCTGTAGCAGTAGGGCATGTCATTTGTCAACACCACCTCGGTGGAAAGCATTGGAAGGGGCATCTAACATTGAGCTTGATATTCCTCCTAGCCAATTCAGCTCCGACAGCCACACTCCGTAGGGCAACACGCCATGCCTTGTGAGCATCGGAAGAAGATGATGAAGATCCACCCTTCCTGTCCCATTGAACAATAAAATCATTAAATCTCCTGGCTTTGTATGCGGATTTGACAGAGAAAATACGAACTGATATGTAGTTCCATGCCAGATAGTCGTCTCCTTCCCAATTCCCAATTTGTATATTCATAATGTCATTCACATCCATTTCTGGGGCCAAGAGCCTATTAAAACTGGAGGGAATGGGGTATGAAGCAAAATCACTTGAAAAAATTATCGCCACAAGCAGCCCACCAGTTAGTTGGAATACCGATAGACATTTCAGTTTCTTCAATGTTACATTGACTGCAAACAGGAATAATATGCACTTGAAAATTAGTTTATTATGCTTATGAACAAACTTTAGTTTAGGCCAGCTTCATTTTGTTATGTCCTTGGTATTGGCATAGACTTCCTCCCACTGGCGGAGCGAGCCAGTAGGCAATGGGAGCGAGCCATGTATTTCCTTAACAATAACAAATTTACTAGAGTTCTCAATTTATTTGGTGCATATATGTGTATTATACGTGGGTAGTCAACATTTTTGCAAAAATAATGGGTGTGCATTTGTACACCCAAACACACATGTAGCTCCGCCCATGCTTCCTCCTCAAGTACAAGATATTGCGAACACATGTAGAAATCGGGGATCAGGGAAAAATAACAGAAACGAAGATGGAGATTGGAGATAGAACCTTTCAGTTTTATTTCATAAGTTCTCCGTTATTCATCTCACCAACACTCCTACCACAGCATACAACCAGTTCATCTTCAATACCTTGCTTGAAAGACTCACTCCAGGTCTCCAACCCAAGCACACATTTATGGCCCCCGATCCTGATGGCGTCTTCCTTGTCCCCATTTTCTGTTTCTTGCTCTGTTTACATGCTGTCAGTTACATGCATGTCATTCCAGGCAATGTTCAAAAAAGCGGAAAGCGTAAGCGAAGCGGAAGGCCACAACTTAGAGCAATGGACGCTTAAGCGTTTTTTGAAATTGGCTAGAATTTGACAGATTTTGAATAATATACACAGGAAAATAGGAAACACGGCACATGGGTAATTGAAATAGCATCTAAAATACAGTTCACATCATAGCATATACACATCAGGTTCACATAGCAAGCAAAATAACAACTAAAATGCAGTTCAGTTCAAATAGTCATAACCTAATAGAGATCATGTGGCAGAATTCTGCCAGAATATAAAGGAAATAGTTCCCGAACAGAGCCTAATAATAAGATAAATGACATATTGCCATTATTGCGCAAGCAGACAAGCAAAAGTAGTTCAAAAACAGCCAAATTCTGGCTAAATTTAAGGAAAAAAACGCTTAATCTACCGCTTAGGGCAAAAGCGAAGCGGTTTGCCATCGCTCAGCGCTTAAGCGTCGCTTAAAAACGCTTTCTTGAACACTGATTCCAGGTTTGAAACATATCTGTAGATTCACCCAGTCACATAAAAAACATTTTGGAGCAATGACTAGCCGGTGTGTAATCTGACTTCCTGTTTGTATTTCTAAAATCTGTTTACAAATGTATGCTTACCTACCATTGTCCCAGATGCCTTCTGTCCACTTTGAAGCTTTCATTCTAGTTGCACTGCAATAGAAGATCTTATTCATAAGTTTTTTCTCATCAAGGTCCCCTTATATATTACTCCCTCCGTCCCATAATATAAGAGCGTTTTTCATACTAGTGTAGTGTGAAAAACGCTCTTATATTATGGGACAGAGGGAGTAGTATATAGTTCTACATGTGTGTCATTTCATGGATTTGCTTCACTGATACATTTAATCTATGTCCAATCAAGTTCTTAAAAAGAAAGAAGAAGAGGAAAGAAGGTCTGGTGTCCGACCAGTCAAGACAATTGGTATGTTTTTCATGTCACTCCGTAGGTTCCATTATTTTCTATCAGCGGTTGTATATCCCTTTGGAGTTCCTTCTTGTATGCAACTACTAAATTGTTATACTTGAATCATTGGCTTTGCCCAAAGAGTTTGCAAGAAATAAAATAAGTATTATCATATTGCATTTTCTTTCCTTTTGATTGTTTGCTATTGATGTTCTTCCAAATATAGGGAAAACGGATTCTCCAAATCTGAGAAGTTTTACACAGCAGTTCCCTGGTACATCTGAAGATAAAAAGAAAGGTAACATGGTCTTATTTGCTACTACCTCCATACCAAAAGTTGAACTGCAAAAATGTCTTATAGTTTGGTACAGAGGTAGTATCTGTTATGATTGTGACGTAGTGTAGCTCAAATATGTGCCTTAACATTTCTGTCATTCTGTTTAGAACCTGAGAAGGTGTCTAAGCCCAATGATGTGACTGATGCAGAAGATGCCAGAACAGATAATGACAGGTGTGTTCCGATGCAGAAGTTTTTCTCTAAATGTTGTAATTTGTGTTGAGATGGTATTTGTTCACTAGCCATTTTCGTCTATAATGCCAATCACTGTCTAGCATACGCTACTGTGTTGTTTCTTCAGAGAGCAATGCCTGCCTTTTGTTGTATTATACCTGCCTTCCATAATTCATTCAGTTCTGCAATTGATGGCCTATGAGTATTGTTCAATTGTATGTAAAATGAAGTTGATCTATCTAGTTTTAACCTTTTAGGATTGAAATGGAGTGCGGCATCCTGGCGTATTGAGAACGAGAATTCATTAATATGCTTATATTTCATAGTGAATCTGGCAATATCAATATCTTCTGGGTTTCTAAGTGCAAAGTGCAAACTGTCCCCAACTTTTGGATATTGGAGAAGTATAGAAAGCACGCCCCTTTATACAACATCTGTAGCTAATCTGTGAACTAAAAGAAAAGGTTACAAACTGCTATTATTTCATTTGACTCCGTTGATTTGAATCCATGTTCATTTTGTTTCAGGTCTTCTGAGCCAACAGGTACTGGTGCCAGTTTTAAACCAGGGACTTGGCTGCCACCGTCTTGAATGCCAACCTATAATTGCAGCTGACCAAGTGTCTCTGCTTGAGCTTTTTTTTCGTGGCCTACCTGCTGTCAGTTCTGATAGATTATTCCAAGATTATGTCCCTTAACCATTTTGATACAAGAAATGGGGAATTTTGTATTTTGTGTAACACCATATGCCTGCCAATTGATAAAGTTCAGTGAGGTCGCACCTCACTAAGCAACACTGGCACTCTCTCTTTTGGTTTTCTTTTTCTGAAGTCTTCGGTGCTAGTTTTGATAGCAAAAAGTTTGGAAGACAACTAATCATGCTTCTTTTATGGAGTTAGAGGTCTGCTTTTTGTTTGCATGGTGTAACAACTGAAATTGGTGCAATATTACTGTCTAAGATGCAAAGTTACATGTAAACTTGTTTGTTAGGTAGTCATATAGACTTTTTTGTTATGTATTTGTATAGACTGTCGAAACTAAGGGGCTGTTTGGTTCCCAGCCACACCTAATCTTAGACAAGTTTGACCAAGTTAGGTAGGTGTTTGGTTCTAGCCACACCTAAGGCAAGGATTTTTTTATGAGCAGTGAACCCCACATGTCATAGACACAAAAAGTGTGGCAAGATTTCTTTAGGCAAGCTAAAGTGTGGCTAACAATTTGAGCAACTCAACTAAGGCAAGTGTGGCAAGTGTGGCAAAAATCATATGGCAATATATGGCAAAGATAGTCACAATCCAAACAGCCCCTAAATGCACCACTGGATGGCATTTTATTTCACCTTTTTCTCATTTCTTTTGAGTTTTCATGCTCATGTTTTCTCTGACGGTTCTGTTCTGCGCCGTCCAATCTCTTCTCTCTCGTATCAAAGAGACAGATGGCACCCGTCCACGGGTTCCATAATCTCCACATTGCTGAAACTACGTCAGATTGTTAACGGCAACAAATGGGTGAAATCATCTTACGCTAAAGGTGGTGTTGGGAAAGAGATTGCAGTAGCTACTCCCTCAGATCCCTGCAACACTTATTTTGGATCAGAAAGAGTATTATTTTGGAAGACTTTTTGGCGCCCAATGCAAACATGTAGCGTAAGTCACTGAGCCACTGCCACGTGTACTACGCTTAGTGGATAGCAATGAAAAACCTTCAATGGGTTACCTGTATGAAGCCATGGAGAAGGTAAAGGTACTATAAGTTATGTTGAGTAATCGATGTGGTTGGAGAAGAAACTTCACAGTCAATGGAGAAGGTAAAGGTACTATAAGTTATGTAAAGGATATTTTTTTCTCAATCCTGGTATTTACTTTAGTCCCTCTTTGAAGATGCAAAGCATTGTGTCTAGGCCCTAGGGAGCTTATTAAGAAATCAAGGTGTTTCTCCAGCTCCATGAGCACAAGAAATCAAGCGGTTAATTTGGCCTTCCAAATTGCAATTCGTCAAGGAGAGAAACTTAACCCAGGTAATAATGTTTTCCATGTTGTTATGGGCTTATGGCCCAGAGTCTGAGTTATCTTCTGTTATAAGTATTTATTTACCCCCAAATGTTTTCCATGTACTAACTTTCACTGACCCGTACCAACAATCTTTCAGGAACTTGCACAAGTGCATAGATGCCATTGACCCTGTTAACCTGGAAAACATAGTTGTTTTGGATGAACAAGTCAGTGAAGAGCCTAAGCCTTCTTTGCACAGATGGCCTGAACTAGGAGAGCATTGACACGCCATTTGCCGAACCAACTTCAGATGATGAAGAACTCCTCGCTATTGAAGACGGCGATGAGGCCCTGGGCCCGATGCCGGCACTGTCCTGGTCAAGAGCAGATGCCTCATACTGCGCACATCCAGATCAGGATCCTCGTGTCTCTGTGACTCAAGATGGTGTGCAACATAAGCCTGCCTAGTGAGTCCCGGAAGGCTGGAAGCTATGTTGAGTAGTGAACAGATCTGCACTTCTGCAGTTAGGACACATGTACCAGGCTCTGAAGCTTTCCTATGCATGGAATTGATTGCCGGCAGCTCAACTTTATCTGGTTATTAGTTTCGTAATCCAAACTAGTGCTGAAACCATCCCCCTGTTCTAATCTTGTAGCATGACTAGCATCTGCAGGACTTGTTCTGCTTGTATCATTTCCTGTTTCTTGTCTTTAGGTGCCAGTGTGTGTGTTACATGTAGACTGTGTTACCACCGTTCTGCCTCAAGAACACGCATGCACACTAGAAAAGGCATTTGTTAGCTGCCAGCAACTTCTGGTCAAGCTTAGCGATAATTTCTTTCAAGTATGGATCGACATCGAAGAACTGTACAAGTAGATGCAGGATGAAGTACTCCCTCTGTTAGTTCTAGATACATCCATTTATGCGACAAGTAATTCCGAACGGAGGGAGTAGGTAGGTAGGTAGCTAACCCACTCGAGCGAGGTCTGGTTGTGGAATTGCCTTCTGGAACGTCTACTTGTATGGTTCTACTGTAGATTCCAAGCCAGGCAGGTGATGGCATTCTCAGGCCTGCTGAACACTGAGCACTTGTTTCGTTGGTAACAACAGATGGGATCATATTATGGTTTTGCAATCATTTCCTTCTCAGCACATGTTGCAGCACACGAATCGATATTCATGACATCGCAGTTGCCTGCGGATCGCAAAGCCTAAATTTGCTGTCTGTGATCTTGCCATCTTGGTGCTGGAATGTACATGCAGAGACAGATAGATAGATTCAGCTTTATGTATGTACATACATACTACATTAGAGAAGATGCAGACAACGCATATCTTTCATCACCAGGGGTGATAGCCTAGCCTGACAGTGACCCGGCCCTCCGCAAGGCCACAGCGCACAGGATAAGAGAGGGCGAAAGATGACATGTGCTGTTCATCCAGCTACAGGATATGCAGTCCGGGGCCTGTTGGACCGATGGCCCTGGCATCCTATGCTTGTCCCCTAGGGCCCTAGGCCCCTTCTGCCCAAAAGGCCTAGCCAGCAAGTGGTCAAAAAGCCTTGAAAAGGGAACAGTTGCTTGCACCTCAAGGTTCGAACTTGTCATCATCAATTCACCTCTTCATTCACATATGTGCACAGCAAACGATTCATCTGACCAGAAACATACTCACAACAGTCGAATCCGATATTATACTATGATGATGACGATGAGGAGGAGGATATGTTATCTCCTATGCTCCAGAAATCAAGGAAGCACACATGGCAGGCTCCTGCACGCGAAGTTGCCACTTGGAGCCTTCACGGATACAGCATAGGTAGGTAGTCTACAAGATAGGTAAATGAATTATCATGGAAAGCAAGTTTTCCCAAAGAACTGAACAATAACTTGCTTGCATTCAGAAGAAAAGGGAAAGGTGTATACGTACTAGCAAAAGAAGAAAGATGGAAACCGTGCAGCTAATCAAGGAAAGATGCCATTGGCGGCCAGCGGACGGCTCATGGATGGCTTATCTTGCAAGGAAGGTGGTTGGTTTCTGTAGCAAAGCTTAAAGCGGCCGGTGACGGTGGGCGAGTTCGTCGCAGCAGCAGGAGTACTGTTACTGTTAGAGACATATGGCTGTAGTAAAGTCTGGATCTACCATGGCTAGCTGCCTAATTAACCCGGTGCTTGTTGTTGTGTCTAGTCATGTGGATTTACTGCTCAATCCCTCATTGCTGTGTGCGTTTCCCATTGCTAGCTGCACAAAGCAAATAATACGTACTGCTAGCCTAGAGGTAAAAGCAATAGGTAGCTTCTCTGCTAGTCTGAAGGAGTAGTATTTTTGCCGGTACTGCATTAGGTGGGGAGGGGATCAGCCCGTATAATAAACTAACTAGGCAGAGCGGCTGATGACAGGCTGCATATCTTATACTACCGCAGAACTGGTTTGGGTTCCTTCAAAAAAAAAAAGAAAAAAAAGAACTGGTTTGGGTTCAGAGTTATAGAGAACCGGCTTGGATTCAGAGTTAGACAGGCCCTGACATACGTACTGCATAGCTGAACAATTAATACAGGGGGATCGGAGTTGGTTTCAGTCTTTCAGAGACCGAACAATTATATTTGTCACCCTGTTCCTGACATTACCTCCGAAGAATCGCAGTAAAAAAAAGTATTAGTTAGTCATGTACTGTACGTCACACAACATGCCTCTTGGTGCAGGCAGCGGCTGCCTGCCTCTGACATTCACAATTAAAGGAAAATCCGTCGCATGTACCTGCCATGAGCCACACTTTATAACACTGATGAAAAGGTCAAAACGCAATCGCGGAGCAGATTAAACTATATTGAGATCGATCGGTCGATCGATGAGTTCGATTTTATAAGCTGGGTTAGTTTCTTGAGAGCTATGCTAGCGATTACAGTCTTACACACACTGATTGCCGCAGAATCTTACAGTAGTTGAAAAGCTGCCTGCGCCGCGTACACAGCATGCCTCCTGATGCGGGCAGCCACAGCAGACCTGACACGCGAGCGCCATCGGGAAGAACTGAAGAAACATACTACTGACAAAGGTGCTGTTAATTACCACGACCGCACAGCGTTTGCCTGGCCATGCACGAGCTGTCTTTTAATTACCACAAGAAACGTACGTAGTAGTACGTAAGTACTACTAGGTGGATGGAGGTCCAGCCAAAGCCGCTTTTAATTACTACAACCACGATCACAGAGCGTTTTGCCCGACCATGCATGGTGCCTTTTAATTACCGCCAGAAACTGCTGGAGGAAGAATTTTCTACGTGTATTTTTTTTACCGTTGGAAAGTCTACCCGCCCCACAGAATCCGAAGAATCTCGCATGCCCTGGGCCCCATTTGACTTCGGCAACGCCGATTTCTACCAACCTTCCTTCCTGGCAGCTGATTCTAAAATCATCTTTAAAAGAAAAAATTGATCCTGAAAATCCAGTGTGTCTGTTCACCGGCTGCTCCTAGGAGTAGGACTGGCTGATAAAAGCGCACCGAGACCCTGTGACTGTTCCTCGGGGCAACAGCACCGCCCGTAACTGCAACTGCAAGTAACGAACAACCCATGTGACAGCAGCATCACCGTGTGCCCGC